GTCTTTCTTCTTCGTGTTTCTCTGAATAGCATTTTGTCCTACTTGGGGACCTATTTGCTGTGGCTATATGTGGGTCTTTTTTATGACAGTAGTCTAACTTTTATTCTGGGACCCCAGGCTCCCATCCAGATGTTCACACCTACCACTCAACTCTCCTGCTTCTTGTCTGTTTCAGGTTTTTCTATGATCCTTCTAAGCTACATGATAATCTCTCATTACTCATTTGAAACCTTTATGCCCTAGTGACTTGCTGGGTTTGTCTTGCAAACCATTACATCCAGTAGGCTCTAGTGATGACCCTAAAATGAAGGCACTGAACATTACTTTGAAAAAAAGTTCAGTTCAGTAGAAACATTTCTCTGTTGTCTCCTTTGTAGGGCCCTTAGCTTGCCCTGGCCACTCTTCTCTCATTCCAAGTCAGGTCTATTCCTGCTCTACTCTGTTGTCCTTACCACTGCTATTAATTCTGTTCTGTAGGAATGTTTAGTGGCACTGTGTTCCAGATGTTGCATGAAGCCCCAGAGATAGACTATTGAACTAAGACAACATTTTATTCTCATAAAACATACAAGAGTCACACACATATAAAATAGCAACCCTCATGATGATTTCATTACACATGAATACAGCAACAAAAATTTCAAGGTAACCTGAGGCTGCATCCTGGTATAGGAAGGGGAAGATGATGATTGGCTTCCCAACGGAATATGATATCTTTGCTCTTTCCAAAACTTGTTGGATCTTTACTACTGGGCTAATATCAATTTGTAGTCCCCAGAATAATTTAAAAATGATAACTTTGTTGAGCAGTTAGTAGATATATTTACATTTTTCCCTAGGAAATTGTTGAATGGATATAAATATATAAACTATGTATTATATATTATTATACATATTATATATAATATAAAGGCTCTATATAAATAAGAGACTTTTTTCCTTTAAAAAATGGGTCATGGTAAAGGACAGAGGCATGCTTCTAATTCTCATGTCTGCTGTCATCTTCTACTCCGTGTTTCATGAGATATGCAGGAGATTGTCCATGGGCCATGCAACCCAAATTTGACTGGAAGTGTCCTTGGTTTCCAAAGGGATATCACCGAAATAAACACCCACTTGCATTCCACATACAAACCAGAACCCTTGGCATGCTCTTTTTAATCACTGTGGAATTGTAAAGTGTCTTAGGGACTTTTAATATATCTATGATCCATACCGCCACTTCACTCAGATGGTAGTGAAATTTTTGTAACACCAGCCTCATGCTTATCCAAACTAAAAGGACCCTGGAACCAAATAACTACTCTTAACTTAAAGACAAATGTTGTGTAGTTATAAATAAGCCAAAAAAAAGTAAACTTTAAAGAATGGTTTATCTATGTGTGTGCTTTTAATGTCTGCATTGGCAAACTCCAAATATTCTATGTGAAAGTCAGTATAGTGGGACAGTCACCAATATGTGCTAATAACAGCAGATATTTCCCAAGAAGATGTCAAACCTCATAAAAATTACCCTGAAACATTTGCCTAGAAGGTCCTGTTTCCCATGATCTAGGTCAGCATTTAGAGACAGAATTGCCCTAATCAAATTATTCTAGCCATCCAGTTCTCTCCTAGCAGTTCATCTATACCTGGATAAATAAAATCGTTATGAAGACTCAATGTTGGAAGGACCCATGTTAATAGTTTTAAAATATTTAAAAGAGGAACTTCTAAGGCTGGGGATTCTTTTATCTATCTATCTATCTATCTATCTATCTATCTATCTATCTATCTATCTAAAGATTTTTTTTTCTTTTTTTGTTTTTCCAGACAAGGTTTCTTCATATAGCCCTGGCTGTCCTGGAATTTGCTCTGAAACTCACTTTGTAGACTAGACTCGCTTCAAACTCAGAAATCTGATTACCTTTTCCTCCCCAGTATGGGGATTAAAGGCCTGTTTGCCGCCATGTCCTGCTCAGGAGTTGTTATTTAATCGGCCTCATTAATGCAGTTTTCACACACACTTTCTTTTACCGTATGCGACACAGATCCGGCACGGGTTCTATGTAGCTATCTTCTTTTATATCTTCTATCAGTTAAGGTTCCATCTGATCCTGACTCAGGTTAAGAGCTTTTCTGATTTAGGTTTTAGACTTTGTTGCCCTTTAGTGATGTCATATGGCACCGAAGCCATCTGTGAGATGGTGTCACAGGAAGTGGAACTTGGAGGAAGTGTATTTTATGGTTTTAGAAGATTTAAGTCACTTTTACAAACATCCCCCCTCAAATGCAGCATTGGTTTCCCTTCATAATATTTCCCCAGTATTATTGTGCTTAAACTGAAATATCATCTATTTAGCAAATACAGCTACTGCTGTGTTGGAGGTTTGGCCTGTCTGGGCATGTTTTCACGGACAGCAAAATGTGCACTCATTTAACAGCCTGCATTTCTGTATTCATAGTTTATTTAGTGTTTGTACCTAGTGGTCAATCAATAAATACTTGTTTAAGCAATCAATAGTGGTTTTAATTCAGTGCTCAAAAAGGATCCTTGCCAACATTAACAGTTTATATGAAAGCTGTAGATTCTGCATTTTTGAGCTGTTCACAGTATCAAAGGAAGACCCTCCCGCTAACTGTGCAAACGGATCAGAACACTGGCAGGTTGGGGCTTTCTGTCATGATTTGCTGCAGAGAAGAGAATTGGTGGGAAGCTTCTGGCTGCCCTCTTACTGAGTTTTGGTGATGTGCTCTTGCCTCTGTGAAGCATATCTGGTTACCGTCTTTAGACGACTATTCGTTTGGTACTTAAACATGGTCACAAATTTCCCCACCAAGCCTTCCCTTCCCAAGCTGCTTATGATACTCCATCATTCCTGGCTGCAAGGCTTATCCTTCTTTTGTTTTATCTAAATGGATTGCTTGCCAGGAGTGACTTACGGCTTGTTTCATCGATTTACAGTAATGAGACGGAGTGCTACGAGGTCAATGTCTGTCCGTGGGCAGGGATTCTAAGTCGCAGCCTGCAAACCACAAGCTCGATGGTGCAGTTGGTCCATCTCCTCAGGAATGCTGTGGGGAAGGCTTCTTGAAAATGACTGGGCTCCAAGAACATCACTTAATGTCAGTTTTAGAAAACAAGAGGTCCAGCCATTAGTGTGATGGGTCCATGTTGACTTGGTCAAGCTAACCTCTGAGGGTCGGAGAGAATAATTCACCAGCGGGTATAAATGATGGACATAGTCTCAGTGGAAGGGGGAAGTTTTCAAAGAGCACTATGGAATTTAAAACGCATTGATTTCTTTGCAGAGTAGCATTTAAACATGTCACTGGTCACGGACTCCAAGTAACTGATGGCCCACGCCTGTGACTGTACAATAGCTCCAAGATGTCCAGCTGTCTCTAGTGAAGAAGACACTGAACAGAAATGCAGGGGAAAGCCATGAAGAATTCTCTGTCTGACTCTCCACTGAGTCACTCATCAGGATGCTAGTTGACCTTTGGCCTTCGCTCTTGATGCTGTGACAGGAGAAGACCTCATGTGTTGCTAAAGTGTCAGATGATGTGGACTGTGGACTCTTCCCAGAGAGAATGGTTAGAGCCCTGCTAGGTGACGGCTCTTTGTCCTTCCCACATGTTGCTTCACTCTGTCAGGAAAACCGCCTCCCCTCACCACATAGATACCATATAGGCTGATTTCCAGTAAGAAGTTCATTGCGAGTTTGATAAGATGAAAAAAAAACATTCCTGTAATATAGGCCCTTATATGACAAAAAGTCACACTGCTTTACTAAATGGTTTCTTTACTTTTTCTGTGAAGGAGAAATATCTGTTTCTTTCAGATACATAATGCGTTTTATATATAATATGTGTGTATAATATAATAAATATGTGTGTGTCACCCATATATTTAGACTATAGAAATAAAGAAACTACATATAGCCTACTTGTCTAATCTTCCATTCTTTGGATTATGGAGAGATCCATCCAATGCCAGGTTATGCCCTTATACTCTCTAATTAGAAGAGCCCAGGTAGGGTTTTTCATTACTTCCTCGTCATTTCCTCCTTAATTAATGCTCTTGTCCTCACACAGAGACTCCTCCAGGCCTTTCTTTATGACACGATAAATCTGGCTCCCTCCTTCCCATCTGTCCTCTCCCCAGTTCTTCATTCTATGACCTGTGTCACTCGGGTTCCTGTTGCTTCCCCTCTGAGTTCCCTCCTTTCCATGATGTTTCTGTCTACTGTGGCAAACGCTAACTTGAAAATAACAGGATCTTCAAGACCACCATGGCACTCTTTGGGCCCGTCTTTTGGCATGACATCACTACTGTGTACCACTGTAGATGCCAGCCCAGGAAACCTTACAGTCAAGACAGGTGTATTCTGCTCTTTTAAAATCCTGTACACAATGATTGCATTACTTTCTAAATGCACTGCTGATTCCACTTTGGTGCAGTTTTTGTGTCCTGCTTGAGTTCAGTTCAGTTCAAAATAGGAATTAGGTGATAACAAAACAATATATCTACTATACTTTGAAGCAATTTTTTATTTTGTTTAAGATACTGAAGATAGTATGTTGGAGTCAAATAAAATGTTTTCTGGACAAAAAAAATGTATGGTTAGGAATAAATTCTAAGAGTCTAGGGAATTTCTCCCATTGTACAGAATATTGTAAGTATTTAATGCATAAAGAAAATACTACTAGATTTTTTTATTTGAAATTGATCATGTGTGTGTGAAAATATGAAAGGAATGTAGGTACTTTTTTATGCTCAAGAAAATGAACCCTTGTTCAATAGCAGATCAGTAAGTAAGCTTTGATTTCTGGATAGGAACAGGAGGTGGAGAAATGATAGAGAAGGAATGGAACTGTAGAGAACATTCTAGAAGAGCAAACCCTGAATGACTCCAAACTGTCCTGGGATGGTTTTGTTTTTCTGATCAGTATCTATATTTCTTGGAGTGCTAGGCTGCATCACACCATTTCATTTCCATTGGGTGAAAAATAATAAGAGCAAGCAGCCTGCTAAGAGCTCACAGCCAGATGGTGTACATCCATGCCATGCTGAGCTGATGGGAGGAAATGCCAGCTCTGCAGGATGGTTGGAGCCAAATGATACTTCAAGGTAACCTGGCTTCAGACTGGTTTATTCATCTCCATGTAACACTGCATTGTAAATAGTGTAGTGAGTTTTAAATGGGCAGAGTGGCATTTTGAGGCATTAGAAGAATACAGGTAAGATGTCTCCAATGGGATCTGGTAATTGTCTGTGGGCATAAAACTCAAGCAGTGTCTCAGGTTTGGCAAACGGTTTCTTTAAGCAGATAGCCAAAAGTCAATCCATTTGTCAAGGAAAGGTAGAATTTTTCAGAAGTTTTACTAATTATCATTTGATGATAAGAGCTAAAGACAGACTCTTTTTCTTTAGCTGTGCTGGGTACTGATCCTATGACTGTGTACAAGCCAGGCAAGTGTATTTCTGTTGACAGAGGTTTCTGTCCTGCCCAGTCCTACAGCCATGCAGTTCCAAAGTAACACACAGAGGTCTACATTAATTATAAATTGATTGGCCTGTTATATCAGAATTATTATTAACTAACTCTAACATCTTACTTTGACCCATAATTCTTATCTGTGTTAGCCATGTGGCTTGGTGCCTTTTATCAGTGAGGCATTCTCATCTTGCTTCCTCTGTGTCTGGGTGACAACTGCAGGCTGAGCCTTTCCTCTTCCCAGAATTTTTCTATTCTTATCACCCTGCCTATACTTCCTGCCTGGCTACTGGCCAATCAGCATTTTATTAAACCAATACAAGTGACAAATCTTTACAGGGTATAAGACCATTGTTCTACAGCACTTTCCCTTTCTTTTTCTTTTCAACACAAGAACTCTAAATCTAATCTCCGTTGTTTAGATAGATTTTTTTTTCCAGACCATTATCCATAACAATTTGCAACCAACACTCTAAACAAAGAAAAACATCCATAATCCATTTTGGGGCAATGTTGGCATAGTTTTCTAGGCTATTTCCTGCTAATTAGGGGTGCTGAAAATCTTAGGGGCACCTAAAGAAAATTTAGGATTATTGTCAAGGTCTGACTGGAAATTCTGTGAGCTTTGATCATCTCAGCCAACAGTCTTGAGACTGTTCTGAATGTAGAAGTCAGAGGAAACTCCAACAGAGGTCCTCTGAAATGTTGGATCATTTCAGAAATGAAATGATAGGATCATCCACTCCTATTGGAGATTTTTTTCAGGGGCTTGTTCTTGATGAAACCTGATTTTTCTTAATCCAGAATGAATCCACAGCCCCTCATTTCTTGTGGAAACAAAAACTAAACCTCTTCTCCAATGTAACATATCTTTTGATTTAAAATTTGAAGTCAACATATTTTCAAATTATATATGTTGGATTAATCCAGCAGCATTTATAATCAAATGTCTTTTAGCGGCTGTTTTTCCTTCCTCAGTCATCAAATAATTCAAAAACAACAAAATAATATACAATATCCAGATTCAATGTGTATTTTCCATCTTTATGTAGCTTTATTTTAGACTCTAATTTCTTTTAGTTTTAATTTTAATTTTTGGTTTTTTGAAACAGGGTTTCTCTGTGTATGTTTGGCTGTCCTGGAACTCACTCTGTAGACCAGGCTGTCCTTGAACTCACAGAGATCTGCCTGCCTCTGCCTCCCAAGTATTGGGATTAAAGGTGTGTGACACCACACCCACCTAATGTCTTTCTTTTTTTAAAAGACGTTATCCTTTTTCTTTTCCAAGCCTACATAATTTTAAACACTCTGTAAACCATTTATAGTTTTTTTTGTCTGAATCTATCTTTACTATATATTTCTCTTTTTCTGACCACATGAGTCTTTAATTTGCTAAGCTATATGGGTAGCATTAAAGCTGTGGCTTTGATGACTGGATTTATCCCATTCTTAGCTTTCTGAGAGTCTAGCTTTATGGTGGAGGTACTGGCAGGAACCATGTTTATTGCCACAACTCTATGGAGTTTCAAGGTCTCTGCCACCACCAAGAAGCATGCTGTCAATAGTTCATAAACACCATTTAAGTGTTTTATGGTGTGGTATTTAAAAGAGCTGCAAGATTTTTGCAGCTAAAGCTGAGTCAGGAAGCCTCTCTCTGCAAACAGAGCCCATCTGAGAAAATATTGCTATCAATAAGCTGTGCTTAACTCTGTTTGTTTGTGAATTATTTCCCAAGTTCTCTCAGTTTTTATGCGGATATAGTTGTCCATATTGGCACCATTTGTTGACAGAGGTTTCTGTCCTGTTCTTTTCCATGCAGTTCTAATGTAACACATAGAGGCCTACATTAATTATAAAGTAGTTGGCCTATTAGCTTAGGATTCTTATTAACTAACTTTTACATCTTACATTAACCCATAATTCTTGTCTGTGTTAGCCACAACATACCTTTATCAGTGAGGCATTCTCATTTTGCTTTCTCTGTATCTGGGTGACGACTGCAGACTGAGCCTTTCTTCTTTCCAGAAGTCTCCCATTCTGGTCACCCCACCTATGCTTCCTGCCGGGCTACTGACCAATCAGTGTTTTATTAAACCAATACAAGTGACAAATCTTTACAGAGTACAAGACCATTGTCCCACAGTATGTTACCATCAATGTATATTCCCAGTCTGTGTATTAAAGAAACAGCAACAGCTCCTTCAAGTTCTTCCTCCTTCTCCTCCTTAAGCTTAGACATCAGGAACAATTTTTTAGTGCCTCCCTCTCCTCACTGTGAGGTCTTACTTGGGGAGGTTCTCATAGCCATTCTGGTGAGGTTGAGGTCACTGTATGTAAGCTGGAGAGGGGCAACTGAGAAGATGACAGGGAGGCACAAGGAAGCCACCAAATACTCGTGAGGGGACAGTGTGTTAGGTGACACATTGCTGAAGGTTCTGTTGTTTAGAATATGTATTAATTACTGTTGTCAATCCTGGTGACAAAGTGTCTGACAGAGACAGCTTAAGAGAAGAAGTTTTGTGTGTGTGTGTGTGTGTGTGTGTGTGAGAGAGAGAGAGAGAGAGAGAGAGAGAGAGAGAGAGAGAGAGAGAGCTCAACACTGGTGCTAACCCACACTCTCCATTTTGTTCAGTCTAGGCCACCAGTCCATTGTATGGTGGCACCTACATTAGGGTGGGTCTCCAACCTCAATGAACCTAATTTAGAAACTCCCTCACAGTCATGGCCAGAGACTTGTCTCTAGGGTTTCTGTCTCTGTCAAGTTGTGATACCAGCTACCACATACTATTTATTGCTTATCTGTTTTTAGAAGTTCTTTCAGTTTTCTTCTCTTCTGGAATGAATTTCTGGTTTTCCCCTTTCTTTTACAATTTCCACATCTCTTTCCTTTCCTTTTATAACTTCATAAAAGCAATCTCTCTCCAAGTCATCTATTTGCATAAAAATCCTTTACCTGGCCTCATGTTCATTGTTATCATTTGTATGTGATGCAGGTTGAATATTCCTTATTAAAAAATGCTTGGAGCTATTAATGTTGTGGAGTTTTTTTCTAGTTTTTGCAGTGTTTGTATATATATATATAATATGTATATAATACCTTGACCTGAGGATGGGATTCATGTCTAACAGAAAATTCATTTTTAAATGTGCCTTGTACATTTAGCTGGAAGGTAATTTTTGTTGTTGTGTTCTGTATAATCTTTTTTAAAAATATTTTTAGCATAATTCTTTAGAGATTTCACATCATGCACCTCAATCCTACTCACTTCCCAGGCCCTCTATATCCACTCCTCACCCCATCATCACGCATCCCCAATTCATCAAAAACTAAATAAAGCAAACAAACAAGCAAAAAAAAAAAAACACCTTGCTTCTCCATCTTTCCAACAACTCTTTCACTCATCCTAGTGGCACGGAGAGCTGCCGTGTGTCACCCAGTAGACCCTTTTGTTAATCACCCTACTGTCAAAATGTTCATTGCAATGAGTCATTGGTCTGGTTCAAGGCCTCTGGCACAGCATCCTCACGGAATCCTCACGCAACTCCTCTCAGCCATGCTACTGTTGCCTCAAGTCATGGAGACCCTGTGGCTATCAATTTGCAGGACCAGTCCCTTCCTGCACTCCAGCAGGCCATAGATGGGGTAGATGTTAGGGTGTGCCAAACCAAGACCTAGGGTATATATAGGACTGGGTGGTAGCTGAGCTGGTTAGTCTTGGCCACTGGGACTGCCCCCTCAGAGGGACAGAACCAGCTCTCCTAGACCCAATGCTATAGGGGCCATCTCGCCCACACCCATGGTGAGGGGTGGGTCCATCTCTTCTGAGTGGGGGTGGTCAGCTGCTGGAAGGCTTTTTAAAAATACAATATTCTTGATTGATTCTTAAAACACAGGTACATGTCTCACATGAAGGTTTTTGGAGGGTCTCTTCCCCATGGGGATGCTACAGATTTGCATTTTGACATTAGCCCATCAGATGAAGTCAACATGGTGCCATATTGACACTCAGAGTTTTCTCATTCTGGATCATATGGATTTTTGAGTAAGGTATGCTTAATCTGTATAACTAATAGTTATGAAAGTCTTCACATCTGTATCTAAAAAAATGACTGATACATTTATAGGAAAATACCAAACATTTTATATTGGCCCAGCAATTGAAGGCCCAGAGAGTGACATTAACTATATTCTAGAGTCTTAAAGGGCAGAATAGTAGCGAATTCATGTGTACTAGGAAACTATGGTGGAAGTTTAAATAGATCTTTTTCCTTGCCCATACCTACAAGGTGAATATCCTTGTTTCTTGAGCTATATAAAGCAAGTGACTTCCAGATACTTATGCTTCATTGGCACTGAGTCAAATTTCCATTTTCTTTGCCTGGAGAAAAGCGATCCTGTAGGTATTTTCATATGGTGCAGTGCTAAACTTCTTGAGCTCACCGAAATCTGCCATAATTCCCCTGTCCTAAAAACTAGGGGAATCTTGAGTGAGAAGCAAAGGATTGAAAGATCAGCATAGGATACTAAAAACACGTACTGAAATACAGTAAAAAAAAAATAATACCATGTCAATATACTCACTAATCAATGTTGGGAAATGGAATGGTGTCAACACACCTGGAGCTCTGATATTCCTCTCATACTTCTCTTCTTTTCCAGAGGCATCTGAGTTCAGGGTTAATATTTAGCCTTACATATTTGTGTGCATCTTTGTGGGTGTGCACCACACGTGTGTGCCCACAGAGACCAAAGGAACCCTCTGGAACTGACATAGCAGGCAGTTGGGAGTCTCTCGGTGGACGCTGAACTCAGGTCCTCTGTAAGCGCAGCGTGTGGCAATACCACGCCGTCTCCAGCCCGAGTTCAGTGTTATTAATCCCCATGTGTTTCCTCCTGTTTTACTGCCTGTGCATGTATCCTGATATTTGCATTTCTCACAATTTATTTTAATAGTGTCAAAATATGCTGTTTCTTGGTTCTGTTTTTAGTTTAATATTTTGTTGTTGAGATTGGAAAGTTTTTCTTATGAGATGTGAATTCTGGTGAGTAAATCTGGCACAATTTATTCAGCCTGGTATTAAAAAGACATGTAGGTGACTCCACCTCTGGTAAAACAGTAAAGGCTGAAATCGTCTTTCCCCAGGTGTGTGTACTGCCCTGGAGCAAGGTTTCTGTAGGGCAGTGGGTCTCTACCTTCCTAATGCTGTGGCCCTTTAATATGGTTCCTCACCTTGTGTGATCCCCAACCATAAAACCGCTTTCTCTGCTACTTTATAACTGTAACCTTGCTACTATTATGAATGGTGATGTAAATATCCGTGTGTTTCCAGTTCTCTTAGGTGACCCTTGTGTAAAATTTATTTCACCCCCAAAGGGTCACAACCCATAGATTGAGATTTGTTGCTTCAGGACATGTCTTTCCTGGTCCGGTCCCCATGGCAAGAGTCCCTAGGAATCACTACATTACTAGGTGTTGTCTATTCTACACAATGTTTGTCCAAACTGTGTTCCCACTGTAAGCTCTGGTTGAGTCAGACTTACTTGTATCATGGTTTCGATGAGAAATGCTATCTCATTGTGGCTGTAATTTGAATTCTCCTAGGAATTGGTCCCACAGGGCACTGGATGCTGACTAACAGTCATGGGGAAAATCATTCCCTGGTGTGGTCTCTGATGTCTCACACCCAGCGAGGGCTTCCAGAGAGGTTCAAACATCTTAAATCTTACGATATAAGATGAGAAATTTCCTAAGTAGGGAATTGTTCTCTGAGTCATTTATCTCTGATTACAAGAACATGATGCTGTTTGTCCCCACTTCTGTGTTCTTCTCACTTGTAGCAATCTCGGCATCCCCGCTCTGGCTATTTATAAAACAACAATAGTGTCTAAGCCATGGAAGCTAAAACCAATTTAAATTATGAGGAAAACTGGAGCATGACTATGGCTTTGGTAGACTAGTAATAGCAGGGTTTGGGGGAAGCCCCAGAACCTACGCTTCTAACAACATGTGTGCTACAGGGTGAACCCACAGCTGGAACCAGATGTTGTTTTGTGCCCAGTGAGGAGCCATGCACAGAACTTCCACGGACTCTTTCCACTGCCAATGTGGAAATGCTCTTTTCCTTCGAAAGTATTTGTTTGGTTCTACAAAGCAAGGAATATTGTATCCTTTTAAAATAAGTCCTCAGTAAATTATTTCTTCTCAAAAAAGTCAGGGAACTTCTGAATCTACCATTTCTTTGGTGTTAAGTAGTTAAGATCTGACCCCAGGGAATATATTTTCTGTCCTGTAATCTCATTTGTCTAAGCCCTGGTATGCTGCCTGCACTCAGCATCACCAACTCTGGCCCTACTTCAGAAGGTTGACACTATTGGTATGCACTATTGCAGGGTTTTCACCATGTCTCGGCCCAAGGAAAGTCTGACTGTTGTAAATAATTCCATTTATAATTGGTTTGTAATACCAGAAACTGTATAGAGACAGTGGTCACAGCATCTCTACATCACTTGGGAAAGGTTTGATTTCATCGGTACTAAAAATATAAGAACCTTTTGGTGTTCATAATGGAAGGTTAATCCATGTCAGAGTGGATCTTTGTGCTCACTTGATTTCTTTATGACCAGATTTCTATCACTCCTGTAGCAGAAGATGCCCAGTGATGCACAGAGAAGGGCTCTCCACACTTAGCTTTTTATTTAGCTTGTGCCCCTCCTTTAGAGAGTATAAACAGACTACACATGTGAGCTTTCAAGTAGTGAATATGCTGTCCTGACAAGTATTCCTTCTGTCGAGTCTACATGGGTGTGTGTGTGTGTGTGTGTGTGTGGTATGTTTGTGTGTGCATCTTTATTGCTCCAAGAAGAATGAAAATGGAAGGGGTGAGGTTTATTTTATTATTTTTTCATTTTTTTTCACTTCGAATCATTTACTCAAATTCCCTGCAGATTGACAGCAGGTCTTTTAAGATAGAAAAATTTAAAAACTATTCCTGAGAATTTCCTTCATGTATTTTGATCATATCTAACCAGATGCCCCCTCCAGCTCCTCCTCATCCCTCTCCCAACTTTTTATAACTCACTGTCCCAGATACGTTTGTACTGCTGTGACAAAATACCATGACGAAGGCACCTTACCAAAGAAAGCATTCAAGTGGGGGCTTGCCTACAGTTTCAGTGTGTCAGTACAGGACCATCATGGTGGCGAGCATGTCACTGTAGCAGTATCTGGAGCATCCCTTTATCTGATCCTTGAGTGCAAGTCAGAGAGAGAGAGAGAGAGAGAGAGAGAGAGAGAGAGAGAGAGAGAGAGAGAGAGAGATTGAGATTGATTGATTACTGGAAAGAATGGTTTGGGCTTTTGAAAGCTCAAAGCTCATCCTCAGTGCCACACCTTTTCCAACATGATCACACTTCCTAATCTTTCACAAAAAGTTCCACTGGCTTGAGACCAAGCATTCAAAGGTACATGCCTGTGGGGAGTACAGAAAAATGTAGAGCTCAATAAAAATCAATAATAAAAAATAAAAACCCACCACGTCCATTCAGTCACTGCTGCCTTTATGTGTGTGACTGTGAGGCCATCCCCTGGAGCATGGATAGAATACTAGGGGTCACACCCACTGAAGAAAACCGACTCGCTCTGCCCTAGCATCCTCCTAGTGCCTCAGGTATGGGCGGGGCTTTGCGAGCCCCTGCCCTGTTTCCACTGGAATTTTGATTGGTTGATCTTGTGCTGCTGCTTTGCCGGGGACTGCAGAGCTTTGAGCTCTTGGGGGGCCAGAGCTCTGTCATATTTCACAGCAGCCCCTCCCCATCTCTGACTCTCCAGCAGTTTTCCCAAAACTCTGGCTCTGACAATCTCCCTGCCCCATCTTCTGTGAGGTTCCCTGAGCCTTGAGGGGAGGAAGTGAATGGAAGGAGTGTTTTTAAGACGAGCCCTCTCACTTACCTTATTAATTGTCAACAAACAGACAAACCAACAAACAACAGAAACCTCTGATTTTCATTCTCAGGATGAGCTTCGTAATGAGGCTCTGGACATGTTCTCTTCATGTGTCATAGTGCAGACACACAGCTGCCTTTTTGCTCAGAGCTTCAGCTCTTGCTGACCAGACTGGGTGGTTGTCTCCTTTCAGGTTATCCAGGCGGTCTTCTTCGGCATCTGTGTGCTGACCGATCTCTCCACTCTCCTGACCAGAGACAGCGGGAACCAGGAGCAAGAGCGACAGCTTAGGAAGCTCATCTCCCTCCGGGACTGGACGCTGGCCGTGCTGGCCTTTCCTGTCGGGGTTGTGAGTATGATGTAGGATATACTTAGCACAGAAGCGGTGTGGGTCCTGCTTCAGATCTGGCTTGTAGAAACGAGGACTGTCAGGCGGTAGTGGTGCATGCCTTTAGTCACCGCATTTGGGAGGCAGAGACAGGGGATCTCTGTGAGTTTGAGGCCAGCCTGGTCTACAGAGTGAGTTCCAGGATAGCTAAGGCTGCTACACACTACACAAAGGAACTCCTTCTCAAACACATACACACACACACAAGATAAAAATGAGGGCTTTGCATAGACGAGCTCTTCCATTACCTGGTACTAGGATGAGAACCCAAAACATCGTGGGCTCATGTACTAGGAATGGAACCTAGGACCTCAAGGGCTCGTGTGGCTGAGCTTTATATTGGTCCAGGATTTCTGTGTTTGCTTTCTAAGCTGCCAGCGCTACAGACATTTTATTCCCTTGTGGCACTGGAGACTGAATATCTGAGGTCACGGAATCCTAGAGTTGGTTTCTTTTGCCGCCCGTCTCTTTGGCTTCAAGAAGGCTCCCTTTACACCGTTACGTCTCTCCCGCTGTGCCAGTCTGGGTTTTGATTCCCTCTCCTGATTAGGAAATCCATGATGCCAACCAGAACTCTCCAGTGGCTGCATTTACCCTCACCTATGGTCATGTTCTGAGATTCTGGGGAATTAAGACTTCAGCGTATGGGGCCTGAGATATATCAGTTGGTGAACTATTTGCCATGTAAACACGAGGCTTGCACTCACCCCGGTACCCCTGTTAAAAAAAAAGAGAAAGAAAAACCAAAACCAAATGGGGCGTGGTGATTTGCACTTGTAATTTTATGTGTGTGTGTGTGTGCACACGCATGTGCTTGCACACACACACACACACACACCACATGGCTCAGTCCCAAACATTTTTTCTTGAGTAGCCTAAAATTAAAATAACAAGTATCCACTGGGTCAACTGTTTTAGCACTTTGGAGTTCAGAGGAAATCAAAATTAGCTAGCAGTTCTCTCTCCCAACTGCGCCATTCACTGGTATTACGTAGATAATGCTGCTCGGTGTTTGGGTCTGTCTGGCTCCATTGATTTTTCTGTCTTCAGTTAGCTTCCCTCCATTGCTCAGCTTCCTTCACAAGTCTCTTTATTTTCCATTGTCTGCACACAAACCATGTTTCTTTACAGGCCCCATGAGTACAGCCCCACCATAGACTTATAACGTATGTGGAGCTGAAAGAATGAGAGAAGGTTTGTGGTCTCAGATTGTGAGAGCAAGTTAACACTACCTTACCTAGCTCAGTTTTAGACCTTTCGTTTGCTCCCTGATTCTGGCAAGAAATAACCGAACTTCCAAGGTCATGGCTAACACATCGACTGAGTCCAAATTCAGCAGCACGAGAGGACTCAGAAAGTTTGTTAAATCCTACTTTTGGCTCTTTTTCATATTGGCCAAGTTAGTGTTGGCAGAGACTTCCATGTTCTTAGTACAGAGTTGACCATTTCTGTGTTCTGAATTTTGTTTTCATGGATGAAGTAGCCCTGTGTGTGCTCTTGAGAATAACACAAGGGCAGAAGAACCTCAGAATCCACTAATAAACCTTCTTGTTCTCCTTTCCTTCCGAGTTCTAAGTGCGTGAGTGCTCAGATGGAAACTGTCCAGCAAACCTCTCAAATCTTACTTAAATGTTTTGCATGATATCTATCTATCCATCCGTCCGTCCGTCTGTCCGTCCGTCCGTCCGTCTGGAGTAAAAGATGCTTAACAGGTCAAGTGATGAAGGATAGTATTTAAAGCAAGAGCTTTTACTATTTTGGCTAGCACAGTACCTCACCGAGCAAACTATCCCAATACTATCTCATGGAGGGGAGCACTGGCCTGATCTGAGCCTCCTAAAGTGGAAGGTGCAGAGGCTAGGCTTTGAACCCTCTAGGGTCCCCAGAGGTGCCCTTAGCTCTGTTACTTGCTTACAGGGTGACTGCCAGCCTTGCCGAGTTGTCTGTACTGCTGTATACCAGCTCCCTCTGTGTCACACTTTCTCTTCGTCAGTTTGTTACTGGGAAAGCCATATTTTCGTGCTACATGTCGTAGGCAAAGAACAAGGTAGTGAATTAGATGATGTCTGCTCAGACTGTTCTGAAACGTTTCTTGGCCAGAGCTTTTCTTGGTCCATGTTCTCTCCCTCTCTTGCTGTCTCTTTCTCTGTCTCTCTCTGTCTCTCCTCCCCAACTCTCTCTCCTGCTACAACCAAAGTAGAGGGAAAGACCCATATAACCTATCTAGGATTTGTAGGTTTTGTATTGGTGCTTCCTTGGGGAACAAGGTTAATTGTGAGCCGACAGTAATTGCTTTATCTGAGCATGAAGTAATGAAAACATCTTTGGAGACCTTTGGACCTTATACAAGGTACCTTCATGGTACCGTTTACCCCCAGGATATATAAAAATAATGAAGTATCCCAATCACAGCTAATTAAAGTGAACTTTTGTCTCAGTGTGACTGTGACACGGAGAAGCCAGGCAGGGTGGCTTGCGTGAACAGAGCACGTATCATCAATCGCTCTGTCAATTCCCATAAAAAGTGGAGCTGGCCTTGATTGGTGATGCTAATGGCCAGAAACCACCACTACTCCCCAAGCCTTGCAGCTCATTTTGAACCCTCTAGAGGCAGCTCTTACCATGTGCAGTTTGTTTCTCAAACCTGTCACCCGTTTAAAGAAGCCTTACAAATAATTCTGTGACATTATGTGGTCTGGAAGCCCCGAAGCTCCCTAGGAGCAGTTCAGGGAAGAGTGTTTTGTCTCCCGTGAGTTTGTTGACTCTCGTGCTGGCAGATGCTATTATAGCTGAGAAAGTAAGCATATTCTTTTTAACTAAAAAAGAAAATAAAAGAGCATGACGAGTTTGAAAGTGCCCCTCCCAGAAACCCTAAATGTGTCTCTGACTGCCATCCATGCAAAAGGAACAATTGCATGTTTTCTGTTCATTCAAACCATGCAGCCCTATTCATCTGCAGCTGCTGAGTTTGAATAGTATCCATAATCAAATCTTACCACGTCCGTCACCAGTACATCTTTGTTCTGGTGCTGCCTTGGGTTGCTCCAGCCCAGATGCTGCCCCAGCCATCCCAAAGTGAGTGGGTTTGTGGAGAGACCCCGGAGGTTTAGAGCTGTTCTATCCTGGGATGGGCATCCGGAGTGTGAGAGCAAACCCGCATGGGCGTCAATGAGCTCCTCTGGAATTTGTCCTTCTTACCGAATTTAGTCTTGAAGCTGTTTGCCAAGTAACCATTCCTGGTGTTATAATCTGTCTTGTAAACACTTGAAGATTTTACATGAACCAACAAACTGGAGGCTCTCACTTGTGTAGCTCTTCCTTGTATCTCTTCCCTAGGAAACACAAGGAAAACTAACTTTAACACCTCAATGCAAACTCTAAGAATGTCTTGCCATTCTCAGGGGTCTTCATCTGTTGACTGATTAGCTAAATTTAAGCTCTCTTGAAAAAGGTTTTGAGATATATGCAAATTTGAATTGCTGTATTCCTGAACCTCAGGAAACAAGAAACATTGGTTTTTTTGTTGAATTTTAAATGCAAAGATTGGATTTGATGGGAAAATGCATATTAGTATTGATGGCTAATTTTCAAAGTTTTGTTACATGTTATTTATTCCATTGTGTTTGTATGCATACACATATATGTGGGGTGCGTGGCATAGCTTGCTTGGAGCTTGTGGATCAGAGGACACCTTGCCAGAGTTGACTCTTTCCTTCTGCTCAGAGTGTTCCATGGATACAACTCAGGTGTTCAAGCCAAGGAATAAGTGCCTTTAGATGGGGAGCCAGCTTGCCAGCCCTTAAATGCTAGTTTTTATATATGCTAGTGTAACACACAATTGAAATTAATTTGATTCTAGTTGAGAGTACAACTGAAAACAAATGTTTCTCTTTTTTTGAAATTTACAAGGAAATATTTTTGAAGTTCCTTATTTAATTTATTCTGTAAATTCTGGATTTAACTTTAAAATATACTTGTCTGCTAAGACTGTATCACATTTTTATACAAGTACCTAAAATCAAACGCTTTTCTAGTTTCTTTAAGCCTTAGCTGTTACCTTGTTCAATTAAATGCTCCTTGGCTTTCTTTCATCTTTGAGATTAAAAATATAGTATCAGCCAAGTAATATTTTGTTGTAAAACCTGGTTTGCAGAAGTGGGCGAAGGTGCTTGCTACCCATCCTGGTAACTTGAGTTGAATTCCTGGGACCAGAGTGGAAGGAGAAAACATTCCAGTAAGCTGTCTTGGGACTTGTACCATCAATCCATGGTACATGTATGCCCATACATATACATGCCGACTCCACAATAAGTAACAATATAATTAACCAAAACCCAGTCCATTTTCTGTTGAGGGAATCACATGCTTGCCCCTGCATAAGAATGAGCAATTGAGTTTAATTGCACAGTGACAGTAGGTTTAAAGGGGAAGACCCATTCAAAATCAAGTACGCAAAATCATCCATTGCAATCTGTTTCCAGACAGATTTAAGCACAGAATCTCATCACTGTAAGAAATTTGAATATGTCAGGTGTCATTTTTAGGAGATCAGCCTTATTAATTAGCCCCATTAGCACGCAGATTAAAACGGACAATATCCAGACAGAGAAGTAGTGTGAAAGAAGGGAAAAGTATTAGGGGTGGAAGGTTTGGGGAGGTGTCCCAGGAAGGTTTGGGGAGGTGTCCCAGGAAGGTTTGGGGAGGTGTCCCAGGAAGGTTTGGGGAGGTGTCCCAGGAAGGTTGATTTTTGAGCTCTGTTTTGAGGGTTGAGTGCTCTTAGCCACTGGGCCAACTCTCCAGCCCCAGCGTTTCTTCTTCTGCTCTCTCAGTGCCACCCATGTTGATTGTACACTTGCTGCCTACGGTTCCAAGATATAAAAAAACATACTTGATAAAGCAATCAGGATCACGTCTCCTGCCTGTGTTCTCAAGGCAGGAAGAGGAACACAGCTCTGCAGGCA